TTTCTTCCAATTTGAATTAAGTCTTTGTTAATTTTGCGAATATAAATGCAAGGCGATAGTTCGAAAATAAATGCTAGGTGATATTTCTTATCCCATTACCACAGCATAACATTTACCGTACCATTTTCTCTCTCTCTCTCTCTCTAAATTTTCCACTTAGCGGGATAACATCGTTTTCAAGCTGAAAAGATTAATTGGAGTGAATACCTTGTGCTTCAGCATTGTCGGATTTTACATTGGTGGATGACTGGAACTTTTCCACAGTGTCAGTCATCAATCAATGCAAAGGATGACAAAAAACTACAACTAACAACCTCACTACAGCCACAGAGATACGTTTATTTTGTAATTTGTACAGCTAGTAAATACTTCATGAACAATCAGTATATCTCAATCCATTCTTACCTGAACAGTTAACCAGCGGTCTTTTTATATAGAGCCCTATTAAGTGGTCGCCTTCATTGCTGCCTTGATTACCAACTTGAATCGATCTGGCGTTTGATTCCAGCAAAACAATAACACTGAATATCTATATCACCGGTTGATCAAAATCTCAAGAAGCAAACAAAAGACAATGCTTAGTGTGCGATAAAAACAATAACTGCACGAGTTTTGTATTTTTCTGCAGGTAGAGTATCTAACAGAAAAATCGGTAGATCTAAGGTATGAATCCTTAGGTAAGTCGAACAAAACTTTCATTTCTGACTTTCAACTAGTAATTTCTTCGGCAAAGGTCGACCCACTCAGCTGGAAGATACCGATATTGTAAAGTCTCAGGCTTGAATCCTCTCCTGAGTTAATTTATAATTTTGTCTTTCTACCCTGCTGAAAGAATATTTAGTAGCGTTGTTGAATATTTCTTTTTCTGCTCAGGTGGTAGCGCAGGTGTCGAAGTTTTATGTTCTACGGTTTGAACTCTATGCTCTTGACCAAACAGTTGTTTTCTCTGCTCAGCTGATGACGTCATGAGCAATTTTCCTTGGAGATAATTTATTTTGGACTAACACAACATAGGCAATTAGTTTGTGTTTATGGTCCCTCTCAAGTTAAGCACTGCAAGCTTCAGTCGCCATTACAGAGTTCTGCTGAGACTTATTTGTTTTATTCTTTATTTAAGAAGAACCAATAATGGATTTTTGTATTCCCTTGGCTTTGAATGCCAAATGTACCCGAGAAAAGAAAAAATACAACCCCCACCTGAATACAGACACCGTATAAAAACGATACGAGCACATCACTGACGAGGTACCAGAGGGTGAGACCGAAGTGCGGGCAATCTTCACTGCACCTCTCCTCGGGACGTAAAAATAAACAAGCACTAAGAGGAACGCACGAAACTCTCCACCCAGCTAGGATCGCCTTCTGTGGGCTAACTGCATGAGGTTGGAATCCTCACGAGGGACTCAGATTTTGCTTCTTCTCACACTATCCTATACATGATATCATTTGACCTCTATGATCCAACTTGTCTGCAGAGGGTAAAGCGTATTTCACTGAAACATGATCCTTAAGCTGAAAATGATCATTGCTTAAAGTAAATGACTTGTGCAGATAGACCTTATAGAATCAGATAATTAATTAAAAACTAAACATCGTAAAGCGTACCGCGAGGCCCATTGGGATAAACCAAATGAGATTACTAGGTATTCGAAAGAGAAGGAAAATCTGTTTACAAGAAATGCTGCATGACAATCTTTTCTTTTTTGGCTTGGTCAAAGGATAATATGTCAAGGTCACTGATTTTCCTTTTACAAAAAGTTTGACCATCAAATCCGGAACTTGGGTGGAACCTTGGAACATAATTTTTTTGCCCTAGGGAGTGGGATTTGAACAGACCAATCTGCAAAAGTTCTAACCTATGTAATTTGTTAGATCAAAATCTACGAAACGTTGTTTGAGAAATGAATACGTTCGTTATGTGACAAAAATAGAATGGTATAAAGTCAGTGTTGAAACATTCTGCCCGACCTTTTTGCTGCCCCTTTGGTGTGAAATTTTATCTTGCTACTTTTTGAGAACAGATAATTCCATTTACCATGTTGGGAACTGCTGGAGATCCAGTTATTTTAAGGGACTGTTGTACAGCACAGTCTTTCTCCTTTCATGTCACCCATTTGTAAGAAACGATTCAAACCAGCAAGAACTATGATATCTTGTTCAAGTAAGGATCCGATGTGTGATCGGTCTGCCGTAGTTTAACCATAAAATTTTTGATAAAACTGGTCGAAGTCTTATCTTGGCTGTTAGAAACTGTACGATATTTTAAGCTGTCTTCCACGAGCGATTATTAAAACAGCCACAAAATATAACAGTAACATGAGGGATTTCGTGAATCGTTCGGTCACTTTTTCAGTGTCAAAAAGTAAACGATCACCGATAACAATTCAATAAATGATCAGATCGGCTGAGCTGCGCATGACCGTTGATGGAATTCAAGCTTACATTAAAAGGCGCAAAATATTCGCATAAACTCTTATACTCTTCTTTTTCATTTGCATGGGAACTGGAAAATGTCCAGAGTAACACCTTTTTCGGGAAAGAAAGCTTCATTTGAATGATGTTTAGGGTCTAGGAAAGTAAACCGCTTAGTGCAAGCAGGGGTAGCGTGGGAGAGCGATAGGGCTTACAGAATTGTGGAGTCAAATAAAATATCATGGTTCCCTCGTCTTATTTCTCTCCTCGAAAATGAGATTTTGCTTCGTTTACTTTCCGCGATTGATGATGCACCTATCACGCCTATTAGAATTCTCTGCAAGGAAATGTTTTGTTTGTGATCGCGCATCGGGGATAGGTCAATGTGGAATGATTGTGAGAGGTTTATCGTCTTCGATAGTGTCACGGAAAGAACTGAAAAAGGTACATCTTAGGCTCTGCTGGGAATAATTCGCTGATTTAAACATTAAAATGCACTCTCATTCTCATCAATTTTTCTATTTACCTTATAAATATGTAATAATTTTCTGCAACAACACCTTCCAGCGTCATTCTATTAAAAACTTGATCTGAATATTTGCAGCATTAATCAATTTGTTTTGACAAGGAAGCCATCGATTCTGAACCAATTATACCTTGTTCGTGTTATAAATTCTTATGAGAATCCAACGGGAAAAAACTTCTACTTACCACCCCTTTAAAGTTAAATTTCAAGAAATTTTGTGATGCGAACGTTGTTGTTAATGTTGTTTTTAAACCTTTTAAATGTAAGATTGTTACGTTCCTACCTCGCGCCCTTTAAGGATTCTCTGTCTTTGGATTGTCTTGTTAGTATTAAGAGCCACTTTTAGAATTAATCTTTCATTCGATTGTTACGTACTATGTACCCCGCGCACTTCTGTGATATTCTTTCACTGATTGGATTGTAATGTAAGTAACTCGTGAACTTTTGGGATTCTCATGCATTCATTCCATTGGAACGTTGGTCTTCTGCGATGCTCTAGCGATACTCTGGCATAACAGCCGGCTGCTTGGTAGAGTCTTAGAAGGAAGAGACTGATAAATTGAATTAAAGTACACCTAAACCCAAATTTTTTTCGTTTAACAAAACAAGCGTATTTTTTGGAGTATTTCTGTGCAAAATGTTTTTATTTGCTCAAATCTTCAATTTTCTGTGCCCAGTCAAAATACGGAAAATCGGCCGCCATCTTGCCTCACGACCAAGTTTAAAGAGGAATGGCTCTAGCGGGTAATGTGACGTCAAATCGAGAACACGAAAGTCTGCATTTCACACATTTTCACTTGTTTGGGAAGGTTGTAGTCGATATTGTCCGAAAATATGCCGACCAAGTGTGTTGCAGGAGGATGTAGCAACGTGCGAAATTTGCAAGAGGGTATCGCGCTTCATACATTCCTCATACAATACACCTAGCTAAATTAACACGAATGTTAATAAATACACCTAACGGAAATTAAGGATGAATTACAAGATAATTGCAGTAGTAAATGGGCGGGTTAAATCGCAGGCTTCCCAAGCTCGCGTCTTGAGAAAAAGCGATTATGAAATCGTCACGCGTGGTGTGTCAGACGACTTCTGATAACGGGAAAAACAGTTATGGCAAAGCAAGCCCAAAACGACGGAAATCGCCAAAAACACAACACACTCTCCAGGAACGGGTAAGTTTTATCGATCGTACGTGTAAAATGTTCATATTTTGGAATACTTAATGTTTTAAATGGACCACGTTTTGATCCCATACTGTTCCTTCTAACGCATTGAAATTCTTAACGGTTCCTCGCGTAACTTAACACCGCATCACACAACGCGTGACGCTTTCATGAAATAATCCTTCGCTTTTCCTTGAGACGTGAGCTTGGGACGCCTGTGCTTACTAATGGGGTTTCTGCCAAATCAGTTTGCGGCCGGACATAGGTAGCTTAGGCGTTTACTCATGGTAATAATGAAACTATTGACCATAGTAGTCTTAGGAGAGAACGAATAGGACGCGTAGAACGAGTTGAATGATTGTAGTGGATGGAAAAGCGAACGCAATAAAACAAAAGTGTAAGAGATAGTCTTGAGTGGTTGCTGAACCAGCGAGCGTGGAGATACTCAGAACGCAGTAGAATATTTATTCCGCAACAGGCTCTGAGGCGCCAACCTCCCATTCATTAGAGGTCACTGAGGGCGACAACACTGGGCAAGTAAATTGAAACTTCCTGTTTCGGTTGTAAAGAGAAGATTTCAGTTGCCTTCGTCGCCTTTGAAGTAACCTTAAATTATCTTCTGCGGTTTATACAATGACTTCTGGGACAAAGTTAATGTTAAAGCTTGGGCGTCAGCTATGGCATTAGAGTTTTAATTGATTCAAAAGTAGTTAAAGCAATCGTTCAATTCATAAACAGTTCCCTTTTATTTAACACTAAAATCTTACGTGATCAGAAAAAACAAGCTCACGGAAACTAGTCTTTGCATTTGTTCCCGTCAGCAGCGTACACCCATGGGGAAAAAATAGTGGACACCAAATAGACCAATCAGAACGTGCACTTTATGTTGATTATGTTATAAAATTCCATCTATCATGGCCTAAACATCTTCGCTGATGGACCCATAATGAAAAAATGACCCTATGATAATATGATTGTGTCTAAATAGCTGTTGAGAGGTGATGTGACTCAATTTTTCTCCCTACAGGAGTTCGTTACCATAGATACCAGTTTCTCTCTTTTCTTACAACTAATAATTTTGTTGCTGGAGAAGCTCTGACGCTTATGAAATGTCCTTTTTGAATATTTGGCTCTCTTATCGTCCGTGTTTTCAAAAATTTAAGAGGTTAGAGAGTACCCAGGCATGAGAAGGGCCTCAACAGAACAGCAGAGTAATGACTTATCTTATGATTAAATATTCGGGATCGAATGATTTAACTCCACAAGAAGCAAAAAGTTAACTAATCCCTTATTACATCTAAACCTTTCCCTTCCAACCTTTTATTCACGCAATAATTCCAAGAGCGATGGACAAAAAAGCCACCCACTTTTGTCTATTTATTTCTTATTTGGTTTTAATGAATCGTTCTGTTTTATTATTTTATTTTCTCTTTTTTTCTTTCTCTCTTTCTTTCACCTTTTTTTGCACAGCACAGAGAAGTTGGACAAACTGCCCCCGAATTATGTCGTATGGCATCACGTTGCGAGGACCGACCTGGGCCAGAAGAAAGAAGACTTTCGGTCAAGCTGGAAGAAATTGCTGTGGCTCATGCTAACCCTTTGCAAGCTGGGAGCATTTTCATCACTCTCAATCAATATCCTGAATTCGCTATAATACAAAGCAGGTCAGTTAAAAAATAAAGAAAACGTCGATATAATCTGTTGTATACAGTGTTATTCTATCATTTTGTGCAGAAATAAAATGATTCTGGGATTCAGTTGGGAAAAAGTCTCAGCGATTTTTTCTTAACGATTCGGTCCCATTACTGTCTCCATTTTGCCACTCACAACTTTGTTTCTCTCCCTTGTATGGGGCGATCATATGAAATTGTGACATTCTGCAATAAAAATAAATAGAGCAAATGAAATCACCGAAAATGGTACCTGGTCTACATTTCTCTGTTTTCGACTCGAGACGGTAAAGTTCATTGCCCAAAGAATCCTATACGTCAGTAGTCTGTTACCACCGTCATAATGCAGTTAAACGCTAGTGCAAAGAGTCAGATTCCTAATCATGGAAAAGTCACTTTGAAGCTTGTTCAGGCCACTTACTGCACGCGATTACAATGTCTTACTATGCTGCCGGAAATTTCGTTGCTGTTTTGTCGACAATGAAAAACCCTTTTATGGTTTCGGTTTCCTCGGTGTCATTGCTTTACTCTCCAAAGCGAAGCCTTATGATTACATGTATCTAAACTCATCCGAAAATTGGTCGATTTATAATAGTAATTAAATGTAAACTACACTACGGTAAAGGTCAGTTTCACTCTGCTTTTATGATAATGAGCAAGACATTTGCTCATCAAGAGTGTACTCTGCCGCGGTGCTAGCGTTTCATTTGGTAATCTAGGAAAAGATAGCCACTTCAAGGCATTAGAAATATTAGGTTAACGAGTGCCACAACTAGACGTATTATTCTCAAGGGAACCCGAAGGCACACACGCTACATACAACAGTTATCGCAAAGTGTTGCGTGACGTGAAAAGTCTCTTCAAAATAAGAACCAATTAGACCTCTACACGTAATTTGAAGGGGCTTCCCCGGACAAATTCCGAGAATAAAAAATTTGAAAATAGCTCGACCAGACTAAATTTTTGTTCTGAGAAGCGTCGGTGCTTGAATTTATCTTGAATTTTCTCTCAGAGATTTGAATACGTTAATCTAGTAAAAGGAAGAACTATGTCACATCATCTTAGAGTGTCAAAACCCGAGCAGAGCTTCCGAGGCATACAATATGAACGGGCTTGAGCCGCAGAAAGGTGCATCAAAGAATAACACTCGGTCAACGATATTTCGCGGCGCAATTTTTGTACTCGTTTTGTTTGTTTTTGCCTTTATTGCCAGGTTTTTGATTAACAAGGGATTTCTATCTAGCAGAGGTAAGCTTTAAGAAAGAGTTTTAACTCGCTAGGCAAAGGATCACCGAAATGTGCAATGGTCATTGGCAAATGATTGCAGATACTAAGTAGCGAAACTGTCGAAAATAGCCCAATAAGTTCTTAAAATTTGTTCTTTGTCTCTAGATTTTCATTTTCGTATATAGGTGGATTACATAACTGAATGAAGGGAAAACTCCTAATCAAACTGTGAAGGTGACTTAACAATCGAAAATTAAATTCCTTTGAATGGTGAGCAAAGTGACTCGTAAATGCTTCGCCAAGCATATTTTGAAGTTATTTACAATTTCAAATTGTTTATCCCATCATCGCGTGCTATTTTGATTAAGTCAACAATTCTGGTCTAAACCTCCATTAAGGGTAAGCCATGGTGAATATTTTCTTCTACCCATAATTAGGAAAAGTGACTTACGGCCAATTCAGTGCCAAGGGACGAATGAATCAATTAATCGCAGTGTTATACGATTTGGCTCAGTGACTGTTAATCCTTTTTTTTTTATCTATCCGCCAAAACAGATGGAAAAAATGTGACCAGTTCAGTTCTTAGCTGCAGAGAGGAACCAATTTGTGATTCCAACGCCGCTTGCTCAGAGAATCAACAAAATTGTGTTTGCAACAAAGGTTTCCAAGGGGACGGCTTGTCGTGTGCTGATATAGATGAGTGTATCACTGAGACTCACAATTGTAGTAAGCATGCAATTTGCACCAATTTGTTTGGCTCGCACAATTGTAGCTGTCTGACAGGATTCCACGGAGACGGCTGGTCTTGCAAAGACGTCAATGAGTGCAAGACCAGTTCGACGAACTGTAGCGATCGAGCATTTTGCAATAACACAGTTGGCTCTTATAATTGCTTATGTCTCGAGGGATTCCAAGGAGATGGAATGTCATGTCAGGACATCGACGAGTGTAGTGCCAACATTCATAGTTGCAGGGCTTATGCATACTGCAGCAACACCGTTGGCTCGCACGATTGCATTTGTCTTTCTGGATTCCGAGGAGGTGGACGATCATGCATTGACGTTGATGAGTGTAACACAAATATGCACAATTGCAGTGATCACGAGTTGTGCATTAATACTGTTGGCTCGTATAACTGCACATGTCGCCCAGGATTCCGACGAGATGGACGATCATGCCTTGATGTTAATGAGTGTAACACAAATATGAACAATTGCAGTGTTCACGAGTTATGCATGAACACTGTTGGCTCGTATAATTGCACTTGTCGCCCAGGATTTGAGACCAATGAGTATGCGTGCCACGATGCCAATGAGTGCGATGACGGGACTCACAAGTGTGATAAGAATGCAGTATGCACGAATACCTTTGGGTCTTACAAATGAAACTGCAATTCCGGGTTTTCTGGCAATGGGCTAGAGTGTCATG